TTAAATGAAGTACAACTAGGTGAAATAACTTAGACCTTACTCTTTCATGTAGTACCGGATTCTTGCCTATCAGAACCTGTCATCATAGGTAGGGATATCTTAGAAAATTACATTTTCGTCCAAACTGATCAAGATCAGCTTAAATTCTTTTCTAAGAAACAGTCAAATTCTTGTGAGTTGCAACCGAACAAAATAACTTCCGATTCAATTGACACTGATCTCGAAGGTGAAGATAGGGAAGCTTTAGTGAGACTTCTCAACAAATATGCTCAATATTTTATAGAAGGAGTTCCAACTAGAAGGGTTAATACTGGTATGTTAGAAATTAACCTAGTTGACCCACACAAAATTTAAGAGTTTTTTCCAGAACTATTTTAATAAATTAAGTATAAAATTACTTACAAACGAAATGCGATGCCATCCATAGCAACAAAACGTCTATCCGAATTTTTTTAACAAGATAGAATACAACATTTCAACCTTTTCTTCTTAATACAACGAAAAAAAATTACTGTGGTTACATAAATACTGCAAGTTCTCTGCGCATCACATCGCGCAGTCTCTGACGGTTCCCATGGTTTGTTTGGCTAAAGAAATACTCGTAGCTAAAACACGTTGTCGGGGCTGTCAAATTCCCAATAATTGTGAGGATTTCCCTCGATTTCTCTAGGATCCCACTATCGGATCCTGCATTGGTGATAATGGGACCAAAGAATTTTGAAAATCGGTCCACAATTGACGGAGAAATCGCGTAACAAACATACATAAAAAAAATATCCTCCTCTTTTGTGTTTTGGAAGTCGGTTAAAAAGAAAACATACTGTCGAATCAAAAACCCTCCTTTTTTGATGTTGGTTAAAAATTGACTAGCATGAAGTTCCTAGTCGAGACGAATCAAATGAGCACAAACACGGAGGAATTGCTTTATTTTATTACAGAGTTCCCATGGCTATTTACCGTCTCCATCATCAGACCCTGAATATCACATAGGATCGGAGTCCTTATTAATTAGACTCAAACACATTCAAATTCGATGGTATTACATAATTTTGTTACAGAGATCCCATACTCCTAAACCATTCATCATCAGCTTCATCATCAGCTCAGCAACATCAGATGGTGACCATTAGATGCAAAAATCTACATAGATTAAGATAATTTCTGATAAACAGTGTATATGCCTACAAAATTTGAGGGTTTCCCTCGATTTCCCCAGGATCCCATCATCAGATCCTGACCTGGTGACAATGGGACCACCTCTGACGTATGACCTACCAAATAAAAAAAGAATTATTCAAATCGGTTTATAATTGCCGCAGTAATCGCGTAACAAATATACAAAAAAAAAAAAAAAAAATACAGTCGAATTGAGAACCTCCTCCTTTTTTTGAAGTCGGTTAAAAACGAACAGCAGATGATGTCTAGTTCAAGTTGTTTTATAACGAAAATGGTCTAATTAACCTTAATCTCTTTATATTATGCTGAATCACTGCCCCACTCAATCCAGTGCCCAAGCTTTCCTTCCACTGCATCAGTTCCACCTCCTGTTTCGTCCATTATTCGACACAGATAAGCCGTGTAATCTGATACCCGTTAGATGACCATTTCTTGATAGGTAATATTTTAGATTTATATAATTTATGGAAGTAGGTTTATGTTCTTAAGGATGTCACATTCTAGAAAACAGATTTTGTTATTTTTATGTGAAAATTTGTTACGTAATTTTATTAGTATTATTTGTTTGAAGAACTAGTTCAACAAATTTAAAAAAAATCTTTAATCTTTATCAATAACTTGAGACAATCCATACGCGGCTGTCTAATTCCAAACTTGCAGGCAAAAACCTTTTTTGAACTTTTTCAAACCCGTCACTCTACCGGGACTCGTATTGGGGCGGTGTGTCAGAATCGAATAGACTAAAACCACACGACTTGCTTTAAATAGGGCGGATCAGGGAACCGGGGAACAGCTTTTATTAGGACATCCGGACAACTCCTAACCAGCCGAACCAGACCGCTGCTTTTCTTCTTACTTTATCCCATCGGAAAACGATCACATTTCAAAGAAGGATTAATGGCAGGCAGACGGCTGGCCATGAAAAAGCCAGCCTAAACCTGTGGTGTCATCTAACGAAGACACACTGAACCACTGAACTACGGAGTAACTGCTAACTCTGTACTGTGACATGAACAGTTCCCAAGCGGATTAGCATTAATAGCCGAGGTCCGCCAATATGATCACTTGTCCTGGGCCTCAATTCTCAAAAATCCTCAAAAATATATTACGTTTATTTGAGGAAATAAGTGGCCAGGTGGAGTGACGATTTGCGCAAGATGGCTGGCAGGAGCTGAATGCGAGAAGCCCAAAATCGATCTAAGTGGCGTGCAATGGGAGAGGCTTATGTCCAGCAGTGGACTGCGATAGGCTGATGATGAGGAAATGATTTATTTATTTTTTCAAAAATGGCAATATTTTTTAAATCACCACTGCTGAGCCACTGCCATTCCATCGCCACTGTAAAGACACTGAGTTAGTGTAGACTATCGATATTTGTACTGATGCCACTGGCCACTCGATGGCATCTCAATAGCGTGTCAGTGGTATGACAGTGGCTTGGCGTGAACATAAAATAGCAGAATTGAGGCCCTGGTCGGAGGACCCGTTCGGGTGTCACGATCTTCCGACCATAAACCTTTTACAACGTTACAAATTGCAATAAGCCCAAATTAAATCGCTTAAAGTACAAGAATATATCGACAATGATGACACAAGACGCATCCAGTCAATTAAGCAGAATGAGAAATATAATTGTTTATGCGACAACCCTACGATATCTGTCTTGCAGCACCGTACTTAACGGCTCTTAGCTGTGGCACCGATACCATTTGGAGAATGGGTGCTTGATTGCTGGCTAATACAATAATTCTTTTATGTTAGCTGTTGGATACGAATGCTATGGAGTTTTAGTAGATACTGAGGTGCTGACAGACGTTTACGTCTTCAAGAAATAGGAGATTCTTAATTCAGCAATATTTTTGGTAAAAGTTTGTTACTACTAGTTTACTTTCAAAGTAACTAGTTAACGGATAGGTTTAATTACTTTTAAACTTTCGCATTCTATGATATATCATTATGTATACAATTAAGTCGTCCGTTAGTCGGTGTGTATTTAGTATGTGTAGTGACGGATTAAGAATACGGAATGTCACTACCCCAATTCATCCTGTGGGTGTCCAGGACACCAGCACTGCAAAAAGAAGGAAAACTTGACACAAGCCCTATACCAACCCGTCTGGCCAGCGTGGTATAGTAGGCCAAAACCTCCTTTCTAAGGAGAGGCTTATGTTCAGCAGTGGACTGTTAAAGGCCATTTGATGTGATGATAGATAGATACAAAATCTTAAGGTTTAGGTGATTTTATTAGAAAAGAAAGAAAATTGTATCTAAAAGAAGCGACCTGCTTCAGATAGTTCGGATTCGCACACTTAAGCACTTATTCCCGATAAAGCACAAAAAATGTTGTTTGCATTTATTCGATTGCGACCAAATTTCACACCTGAATATATTCTAAAAAAATCATCAAGCCGTTCTGCGCCCATAAATAACCTACATACACACATCGATGTTTATTTATGTAATGTAATGTTATTTTAAATGCACATTATTATGTAACTGTTGTAACACATATCATTTCATCTAATCTTAATCTAAAATTTCTATGTTAAATGTTTAACAGAGAATTTTATTATGAGAGAATTGCGAACGGCTTTTTTACATAATAAAATATCTATGTGTCGCGAAATTACACTAGCATTTAACGTCACTGTTATATGACAGTGCGTAAAACGCCATTAAATTAAACTTAAAAGATAAGTACGTGGTTTTATTAAAAGGAAAACTTTTTAATTTTGCAAATGGCTGCTTTAACCTCCAAATGAAAAGGAAAGCCATAAAAAAATAAAATAGCTGCCGTGTAGGAAAATGGCTGTGAAGCTGTTTGGTTTGCTGTTTGAACCTTTTTTTTTTCCGTGCGGAAATCCCCTCGGATACCACCTGTCGGTGGCATGTCGGACTCGAACCGACTAAAACCGCACGCCGTCTCGGGTACTAATAGCCGGGGAACCAGGTATACCCTAGAAAGGAAGTCACTGGTGCAATAGAAAAAGCCCTGGGTGTTTGGACTTGTCTAATATCTGTGCATTTAATCTTAATGTGCCCTAACTACAAGATTGTATTAACGATTTCAAACGCTGGCGCCTGGTAGGCAAAACCATTTCGCAATGAAATGAAAAATTGCGCTGTGTGCAATGTCGATATGGCACCGACCCCTAATAAATTTGGAGAAGGAAAATTATGATAATGGGTAGGTAGAAAGTCAAAAGAGTTTTAAAAGATGATTTTTGTTTACAGCAATGTTAATTTTACTTCACACTTTCGTGACTGATTCCCAAGGCATATGTGTAAGTCAAGTTTGGGTACCAGACGACCCAAATATTGTTTAAAACCCGTTTCTGTATGTAAAAGTTTTTCTGTGTACACTTTATGTTTAAATTCAATGAATTATGAACATCAAACCTCCTTTCTAAGGAGAGGCCTATGTCCAGCAGTGGACTATTAAAGGCTGTTGATGTGATGAAAATCAATAGGCCAATTCTCTTCCACCATATGTCTTTTAAGAGTGTGAAAAAAGAAGAAAATTAATTCGTTGACTTTTTTTAACGGAAAATACGAAACATTATATTTCAAATGTGAATATGAGTGTGTGTGTTCTACTTACTTGAAAAAAGGATATAAGATACCTTATTGCATTTTCTCTACCCGTAACTTCAAAACCGTGAAAAAACAGCGATTCTCCCACATAGATTCATTATTGAGAATACGTGTAGAGACATCTTGTTTCGAGTCTAGTTCAACTCTGCGTTTTTTTTTTTACCTCTCTTCCATAAGTAAGAACGGTTCTATAACCCATGATTATAAAGTAATACAGTAAGTATACATACCTCAGCATGTGTCCAAGCTGAGAGAGCCTTCGGTGGGGCATCAGGAGCCACTGCACCGAGCCTGCCTCTCTTTCTGGCCTCCTGTAGTATCGGTACTTTGGAGTTTTTGTCACCAGATGAAAGGATCACTTCGCGTTCTATCTGTAAATAAAAAAAATTGAGATATATATTTTGTGAGGTTTCATTGGTGAGAAAAATAATCTTAGAAAGAGACTCAGTGTCCTCCTTAGAGGCTGATTTAAGAAGAAATAATATCAATTCTAAGATGTCAGCAATTACATTAGAACTTTGTAATATTAATATTATTTTTTTGAAAGTCACAGAAATAGACAGCAGATTAATTTTTAAACTAATTGTAACCTTATTTATAAACTAGCTGAGACCGGCGTTGTTACCCGCATTTGTTGTTATAACTACGGGCAACGCCGCGGAGCGAAGCTAGTCTAAAAAAAGTAGCCTAAGTCACTCCTTATGTCATCAGCTATCTGTCAGTGAAAGTCCCGTCGAAATCGGTAAAGCCGTTCCAGAGATTACCCGGAACAAACAGACAGACAGACAGACAAAAATTGAATAAAATGATATTTTGGCATATGTACCGTGTAAACATACATATGCATTTAGTAAAAAGCGGTTATTTTAATATTACAAACAGACACTCCAATTTTATTTATATGTATAGATTAAAGAAGTAATAGTATTGTATGAGCATCATTACTTTTTAAAACACAAATAAACAAAACAAAACTTTAAATCAAAAATGTACAAGAAAACACATGTATTACAACAGAATAGAATATTAGAAAATAAATATCAACGAACCTCACCACAGATAAGGCGTCGAGATTTTCCCAGATAATATAGAGACAAAATCCTTCACACCACAACAAAACAAGTGATTAACATGTCAAATTATTCTCAAGATATTCGTTTAACGTGTTACTGCACCAAGATAAGTTATGGTACAATCTTACTTTGTCCCCCACACACAATGGTATGTAAAAACTAAAAGTTCTCAGACTAAGTACGTAGGTACGCGTGTATTGGAGAAATCGCGGATTTTAAGATGAACGCGAGATATTGATTGCATATAAATGTATTATGATGGTGTGTATTGGATGTATTTAAGGTTTTTTTATATCTCTACTAGCGAGATTTCAGATTAATGGAGTTACTACTCGCTACCCTCGGCTTCGCAAGTACCTACATCATCATTTCGGTGACTTAGTTGCAAAATATTGTTTTTTATTTCTAAGTAAATAAAAACTAAATATATAATGTGAACCTTCCTAGAAAAAAATATGTAAATTATGGTGAAAATTGCATTAAAGGCAGACGATATAACGCCACTTTATTTTATACTCTTTAAAGAGCACATAAATCAAGAAAGTGTCTTTTATTCGAAATTTCAGGTAAAGTCGCAGACAAAACCAAGTATTTTTTTATAATTGTTGATACGCGTGATTAAGTTAAAACTTAAGTTAGCTACTCACATTAACAGTTTCTTACAAGACATTTCAACAAAAATTTTGCGTACTTACTTTCTTTTTAATGTTTGCACGGATATATATTTTTTACACACCTACTATGGCTACTTAAATATAAAAAGCGAATGAATAACATCCTTGAACGATAGCTATATCTGTGGACACACTTAAGTATGAGCTTATTTCAATTGCTGTAATCGAGAATTTGACAATTTTATTATTGATCAATTTTCTTTAAACATGCTTTCAATTTTGTGGGATTGGAACACAAGTAACTTAATTTTGTTATTGTTACGGAGTATTATAAATGTTTTAATGGTATGGGGGGCGAATGACCAGACAGGTCACCCGATGGTTAGTGACTACCACTGTTCATAGACACCTACAACTCAAAAGACACAAATACCTTACAGTCCTTAGAGATTCCCCCCCTCTCCCTTCCAAAAATTAAGTTCCTCCGGTGACTTCTTACTCAGTCGGTTAAAAGCATCAAAAAAATTACTTAACACTGGTTTTCTGTAGAGGCTTGCTGTCAGTAGTCGAGCCTACAAATAGCTATAGCTGCGGCAGCGTGGCTCTCGTATAGCTAACTCCCAGAAATTAAAAAACAATTATAATTTAGAATAGAATACTAGTTTATTGATTTCAGCATTTGAGTTTTTTTGAGAGAAAAGTAAGCTAAGTTACTCTTTACATAGACAGCTACCTGGTAGTAAAATTTACCCGGATTACCCGGAACAAACAGACAGACAGACCGACAGCCAGACAAAAAAAACCTGGTTTTTAGGTATAGGTTTCCTGCAAATAACCGTGTGAGCATGCAAAAACCTATTATTTTGACATTACAAACAGTCACTTCAATTTTATTTATTTGTATAGAATATAGAATAGATTTAGTACAATTCATAATACAATTATTAAGTCAATTCAAATCTAACCTTTCAATTAAGAGACATAAACACATGGACAACACCATTCTTACATGTTATTTTCTTATTTTTTAACTTAATTATTCAACACGATATTAAAATCAGTTACAAAACTCTGTAACTACCTACATACAAGTCTTTCTTGCGTGTGCGCAGCGACCCCTCAGAGTCAACACCGTGTCGGCTTCAAGGACAAGATCAGAGTAACAAATGCCTTCCTATGAGACCAATTTACGAGTTATTTATCAAGATCGCTTTCTATATATAAGACACATAGTTTCGCAGTCAGTAACCCTGAGCCAGTCGGACGGCTTAACAAATTGCTGCGACACCGTGACGGAAAGGCGGACAGACAAAACAGGACTGAATATAAATCTTACGACGGACTTTTAGCTTTTGGATTTTATTTGTGACTAGCTGACCCGCGCAACTTCGTCTGCGTCTCTCAATAGTAATAAATTTTCTCCGTTTTTGAAACATTCTTCATTGGTGCTCCACTCCTATTGGTCTTAGCGTGATGATATATAGCCTATAGCCTTCCTCGATAAATGGGCTATCTAACACTGAAAGAATTTTTCAAATCGGCCCAGTAGTTCCTGAGATTAGCGCGTTCAAACAAACAAACAAACAAACTCTTCAGTTTTATAATATTAGTATACGAGTAGATTGACTACAAAAACGTAAAAGGAACGACATACCTATGGCAGTTTCTATATACTATCTTATGTTTACTAACCAATAAATTGACTTGCTAACTCTACGCGAAAATAACAAATTGATCGAATAGTTCTAATATTCTCAACTAGATGGCATGTATTTATTCAAAATACTTAATTAGGTAAATATTTATTCTTTTATGAATAAACTAGCTTTTTCCTAGCCTATGTCTTTCTTCAAGAATCAAATTATGTCCATAATATCAAATTTCATTTAAATCGGTTGTGCTATACAAACTTCCACCCCCGTTTTCACCCCCTTAAAAGATTTTTTGGATAAAAACTACCCTATATCGGACTATCTCTATACCAAATTTCATCTAAATCTGTTCAGCGATTTAAGCGTGTGAAGAGGTAACAGACAGGCAGACAGAAAGACAGACACACTTTCGAATTTATAATCTTATTTATTTATTTATAATACTCGTATTAGTATGGCCAAACCCTCCTTTCTTAGGAGAGGCCTATGTCCAGCAGTGGACTATTAAAGGCTATTGATGATAAATGATTAAAAAAAGACTATGTAGTATTGTAATATTACGAAGCATAAACACGATATTGTAATTTCAGGTCTTCATAAATATATGTATGTGTAAGCTATAAATTAACGAAACGTTTAGGTTATGGTATGATAAACTTATGTAAGTACAGGTACACAATCACACAAAACATCAATCAAGTAGATAAAAAGGTTTTTGATGGATAAGAGACACTGTAGCCTTTTGACGCTTTTATGAATAAGATAATTACGTGTGATTGTGTTCATTCATACACAGTGACAGATACACACACATTCTCAAAAGAACTGTCATATTATAGTGTCGAAACTTGTAGCAGGAGTAGTGTTGTGCTGAATCATTAGAAATGTAACCATACCTGACGTATCCGCGGATATGATTCGAATACGGATAAGTGTTAACATTAACACTTACCTATCTGAACACCGAGAAATTGACACAAAGAATACCCAGACTCAGAATAACAATTTGTGGATCACACAAGGTGGTGTCCCATGTGGGGGTCGAAGTCACAACCCTCAGCTCAGTAGTTCAATTATTCAAGACTATTGTCAAATTAAAAAGTATTAAGTATCAATAAAACAACAATGTTGTTGTTTAAACCGATGGCGGCTCTTTGAAATTCAATGTTGAAGGTTTCAAACTTAATAAATTGATACTTTTACTTTTATTAACAATGTTTATAAGCGATTGCATCAAATAGACATTTGATAGTTGAGTGTGTTAATCAAATCACTGATTAATTCGTCAGCATGCAGTTAAAAGCGAAAGGCGGTGCCAATCAAATACAAAACATGAGACTGGTTAGCAAGGATTTTGTTTTTGTTTGGTTACGCAAACATTGTTTCGGGCAAAATAAAAAAAAAAGAGGAACAGAAGATTATTTATAAAAATAAAAGTCAGTTTTAGTAGATGTTTATGGACATAATTGAATTAACATACATAACATAAGTGTGTGTGTGTGTGTGTGTTTGTGTGTGTGTGTGTGTGTGTGTGTGTGTGTGTGTTATGGCGTGGCCAAAGTTAAATTTAACCAATCATCAAAATAGGAATTACTTTGGTCAATGTTGGAAGTGAAACAAATCGTTAAAACCCTTATTTATTATTTATTGATTTTAAATGTCCCTAACTCTACTGGCGTGTCTCTAATGTACATAACAGTGACTAACTAAAACCAAAATATTAGTAAAGAGATTTAAAAATGACAGAACATCAATCTGATTTATAGCAAAGCTAAAAAAAAGAGGAAATAAAGCAAAAAGTAATTTATTTTTAAAAGATTTTTATATTTATATGACTGGCTTTTTTTTGGGCTAATGTATGTTTATACTGACATCTTTATCCCTAAGGGGATAAACACAGGTTTTCGTGGTCAGGAGTACCCTATGTTCTTTTCTGTAGTATTCACAAAATGACTTGTTGAGCTTGAAAGCGTTACAAATAAATAAACACTCAATATTAATCAGGATTCGTCGTTTGGCAGAAACACTTGAGCATGATTTAATTATTGGTTATACTTACAGGGAACTTCGCGGAGTGTGTGTGAAGAGCAGCAGGTGCTGATGGGGCCGGTGCACCGGGTAACGCCGCGTCCGGCGCCGGCGGCATCCTATACGGTGGTACGTGCTCGACTGTGCCTGTAACAAAGAGATAGCAAGAGAATAAGAAACCAGGACACGGTATTTGGCATCTTTATGTTTGGTTTTTTGTTGAGCAGAAATAAAACAATCCACAAGCAAGTTAAAAATTATCTAGTATTCGTTTACTGAGTATATATTGCCCAACAACACTATAGTAATCTTGCACCTAGACTTTACAACAAACTTATCTTATCTTATAAAACTTAAAACTTAACTAATTTTAAAATAAAAATAAAAATTAATTATGGCTTAAAGATATAGGATTTGATGATGTTGAAAACTTACTACAAATAGTGGACTGATGGAAACTTGAATAATGTCACACACACTCTCACTCACACCACACACACACACACATACATACCGTCTCTTAAAGCCTCAAACATACCATATACACACACACACCCTCACAAACATATACACACACCCAGGAATTAGGAATCATTTAGGAATCAGGGCTGTATAATGTTTTGTAATCCGCTTAGTGTTACAATAAAGATTATTATTATTTCCCAAAATATTTCTTCAATAATTTAATTTTGCCCAGTTGGAGAATTGAACCATATTTATTATCTTTTCAAATGGCACTTATAGGCAGCGGTTACTCAATAGTATAAACAGAACTATTTCTTTGTTAGAATGTGTTGTGTTACTAACTTTTCCCACATAATTCTTCCGACATTTCATAAATTGACGTTACCATCCGACGCAACAAACATGTACGCCGCATTCACAAAGAAATTGTATAAAAATAGACCAGGTGGTGGACTCATTAGATCAGCGGTTTGCAACCTTTTTGCTAGGAGAGCCTTCACCATAACGTCATTAATGTATTGCTGATGTATTTTAATTTGTTCTTATTTGAGTCAAAGATGACGAAAGAAAATAAATTAAAATTGAAAACTATATCTCTTAAGCATCAGTTTCTAATTGTAATAATTCTCGGACGAGATTCTAAGATGTATTACGATCATTACAAGAGAATAAGATATATTTCTACGATGCGATAGTACTACTTTGCAAAAATTGTATAAAACAGCACTATAAATAATTTCATATCCAGACCGATACGACCTTCAAGAAAAGAGCGTACTCCTTCTTCAAAGGCCGGAAAAGCGCTTATGCCTCCTGAGTTGAAGGCGTTCATGGGCGGCGGTAGTCACTTTCTATCAGGTGACCCGTCTGCTCATTTACCCCTTCTTTCGTAAAAGAAACCGCTTAAAAATAATTATTTATCGAACCACGAATATAATAATATTAAACTCAAGATAATCTTAATGTGCGATCGTGTGCGATGTGTGTGATCTGGACAAGTGAGACAAAAGAACGTGATTCAACTCATGCCGATGCCGCAAAACAAAAGCGTTTCCGAACGACAAGCGATCATCGCATCGCATTAGCGCGTTCAAACAAACAAACAAACAAACAAACAAACTCTTCAGCTTTATAATATTAGTATAGATGAGTACAACATTTTGTAATGAGTACAACAGGTTGATGATCCCTGCTTCAGACGTCATTGTATGACAATGGTATCTAGTAGTAGTGATATTAACTGGAGCTTTTTATGGTACATGTTCTTTGTTGGGAACGTCGGAAATGTCTCTTTTTTATTTTCTTTCTTTTTGTAGTGTAAGACTAGTTGACATCCAGCTTAATACTAAATTTATTTTTTTAATAGCATGGAAAGTGTCTTATAGGCAGTTTGACGTAAAAATATGTGATGCCTGGATTTGGATTTACGAAGTATACCTTCTGAACATACTTTGACCAAAAGGCTTTATTAATAATACTAGAATTATTAATAATTTTAGCTTGGATTTTGTTTATATTAAAGTAAACATTATCAGACATTGTACATCGCGTGTTCGGTGCTGATTTGATAACTGTAAATCTATACTAATGTAATATAGCTGAAACGTTGGCTTGTTTTACTCTCTCACCCTCTCAACTAGGCACTAAACCCATAGGTCCAATTCAATAGTGTTGACACCATACTAAATTTAGTTCTATATGAACGGATATTATAGTTAAAAAAACAGTTTTAAAGCCGCAATTAATATATAAACGGCAACACACAAAAATATACTAGAAATAGCTAAATAAAAAAATATAAGTTAACAAGCTAAATCTTTAAAACAGGTGATGTTAATTTTTGTAATTATCAGATATCAATGTTACTGTCACAATAAATACGAATCTAATGACTCCTCCAAAGCCAGAATTCATCAACTTACAGACTACAGATTTTGTCAAAGAAATATACATAAATACATCACTCAAAAAGCATAACCCTCTTTCTGGAGCACTCTGTGACATCACATCAACAGCCTTTACTAGTCCTCTGCTGGTCATAGGTCTCTCCTTAGAAAGGATGTTTTGGCCTACTATACCGCACTAGCGGATTGGTCGAGGGTTTGTTTAACGTTTTCCTTCTCTTTGCAGTGCTGTTGCCCTGCGTAGTTTGCTCCCTTCGGATCTCATAACTCCGTATTCTTAATCCATGGTGACACACGGACTTTGTGACATAGGTACTTAGCAAATACCTACATATGTATTTCTACTCTAAACAAGGTTTCAATAATAAAAGTGTTCTGTACGTTAGAGGGCCCTTAGTATCTAGTATGAAATGTGGTCATCGCTCTCAATTCGCTGTCAATGTATCTACTTACAAAAAGTAGCTTTTTCTAGTAGTCGTACAAGTTGGAATAAACTCTAGTACTCGGTACAAAAATGGCGAGATGAATGCTTCCTATACTGCCTTATCTAATATCTATGAACTCTGTTGGAATGCACTAATGCAAATTTGAAATTAAAACTTATATTTTTAGCGCATGCCACAATGTTTTCAATAATATACATAATTTAAGAGTACACTTTTGTTATGGTATAAGGGAGCAAAAGAGCAGAAGGGTCACCTGATGGTAAGCAACTACCGCCGCCCATGCACACCTGCAACTCAAAAGTCACAAGTGCGTTTGCCCTTAGAATCTCTCCCGCTCGAGTCAGCGGGATTTAGGCTCCGGTAACCTCATTTGTGAAGTCCATTAAAACAAATGTAAAATCTTTGGTAATTGATGAAAATATCTATCCTGCTATAATAATTCTGAATAATCATTTGTTTTATTGTTTGTAATGAGAGAGAGAGAATGCCTTAGGCATTAAGTCCGCCGATGAATATATATTTGTGCATGAAGTCATAAATAAATGAATAAATAAATAAACCTACTAATCTTAAAAGTGGTGCACTGAACAAAAATGTAGAGAAACTTCGGCAAAAGACTAGTGAATAATATAAACAAAAGAAGAAAATCGAGGGACAGGACAAATGCACATTAAATAAAAAAAAAAAAACAACATTTAAAACTGTTGAAACTGGATTCAGATAAATTATGTAAAAAGTATATCCTAGTACATTAAGTTAGTTATAAAATAAAATTATTTTAAATTTTGAACAAACTTTTTGATGTTCAGAAAAAGCTTGCCAAATTTAAAAATTAATCATTCAAAACCATAAACTGTCTCTTTTGGAACACATAAAGCCAACGCTATAGGTTATTTTGTTAAATGTATAACTAAAAACACAAGCTAGGTCAAACCCTCCTTCTGGTGCAGTTGTCAGCACCGGTGCCGTTACCATTAAAAAAAGTTAACGACACCCCAGTGCAGTGGTGTGGTTCAGTGGTGACGTTTACAAGACACGCAAATAATTAGTGTGGTAGTGTAACAAAGATTATTTCTTTTCTGTTCTGTTCCTTAGCCTTAATCGACCAAATATTTGGTGTAAGCCTCCCTTAATCCTTTCCACTTTCCTCTGTCTTGGGGCAATTAGGGTCCATCTTGCCCGCTACTTTTTTAATGTCATCCTTCCATCTCATCTGTGGTCGGTCTTTTCTGGTCCCATGGTCTCGATTCCAACACTCTTTTACACCAAGAGTTTTGTTTTCTAGCTACATGGCCAGCCCACTTCCACTTCAACTTTGCTACCCGTTTTACAACGTCTGATACTTTGCTCTGTTTACGAAGCCACGTATTGGTTTTTCTGTCCCTCAATGTCTTTTCTTTTCTACCTTACCTACTTTATATTATGGCTACAATTAAATATTTCTGACATGACTGTTCAGCGTGGCTTCTCGTCTACCACCAGTGCGCGGCAGCGTGTGAGAATAGCTATGATGGTTTGCGGTATAGAAAATAGTCTGAAAACCGCAGTAATTTAACGATTTATGAGCCAAAATGACCATAGGAACTGCACTTTTTCTTACCTCAATACTGGTTGTAACAGCATATTCTTAAGTTACGATAAGTTTTTTTAAGTAATTCTGCTTTAAGATATTATAATAATAATGACACACGGCCGTCTGATGCTACACTAGGCAGAGCCTGTATTGTATTCGAGTAAAAAGACTGCTGATAAACACACTTGTATATATCTAAATACGTGCATATCGTAGATAATTACATCCAGACACAGATTAAGCCAACGTCCTTATTACTCAGTCATTTGTTTTGGGTGGGAATCGAACCTAAGACATCTTGAGGCGTACAGGAACCCTACCCACCAGGCCAGTTAAAGTAAACTTTGTACTTACACGCTATTATTATATATTCATCCTAAAATTGTAAATGGCAAAGGGGTATGCAGAAGTGTCTTTACATTTTGCCAGCTATATTTTGGTCCCCAATTAGGTAAGCTTTTTGAACTCCACTGGGCTACGTTTTTAGACTTCTAGAAACTACTGCCCATTGGAAACCTCTATAAATTCAATAAAAATTGCCTGACATGACAATGGATTCCTGGTAGGCGGTACTTAATGTACAAGGTAAAAACAAAAGTTCGCAAATGAATTCAAGAATTCAGAATATTGTTCACGAGATTTACTGAAAATCTTACGAAGTGGGTGATTGTACCCAATAAACATGAACAGACTCATATTACTAACACTCATCATCATCATGAACAGCCTTTAATATTTCACTGCAGGACATCGGCCTCTCCTTAAAAAGGAGGTTTTGGCCTACTATACCACGCTGGCCAGACGGGTTGGTATAGGGTTTGTTTCAAGTTTTCCTTCTTTTTGCGGTGTTGTTATCCTGCGTAGTTTGCTCCCTTTGTCGGCTCTTACGACACCCACGGGATGAATAGGGGTGATGTTACTCCGAATTTAAGGATACGGATTAAGATCCGTCTCCACACGGACGGACGGATCTATAACACTGACAGAGCACAATCTGTTGTTACGGCAACTTTGTTTGTAATTAATAAATAATAATAATAATATATCTCACACTCTCTCTCAAACTAGGCAGAGCCTGTACTATGGTAACCAGACTGCTGATAAACATACTTCTTTAATAGATAAATTACACCCAGACACAGAACAAATGACCGTGCTCATCACAGTCAGTGTCACTAACCACTAGACCAACAGCCCCGTCATATATATATATATATATATATAATAGTTGTAAGTGTAGTAATCTAAATTATATTGAAAAAGAAACAAGAAATTCGAATTGAGAATCAATTTTGTGAAATTAAGATATTGAGATGATTGAATTTAGATTGAAATGTGTAATGTACTATACGCCCGCCTTCAAAAATATGCAGGTTATATCAAATATATTTTACAGTTATGTAAAGCAATACTCTAAATTATAACTGGTTGTTCAACTACGTCCTTTATTTTTACATTTCGCATTTTAAATTTCACATCAACCTAAGCTACCGTGGGACAACCGTTCATAATCAAGTGCTTTAAACAAAAAAGCACTCATTACGTTCCGATCTTGATTATAGCTCGAATCGCATTCATCA